CCCATCTGCGCTGCGGGGCCGCGTGGCTGCCGCAAGTCCGGGCTTGAATCCCGACGTGGTGTGCGCTTCAGTCTCAACCAGCGCGCAGCGCCGGGGGAGCTGAACAGGTTGAGTGACTTCAGGCTGTGGGAGGAATAATCATCTTGGGTTGCTTCAGAGAGCCGAGGCAGCCAAACCGGGCGAGAATGGCACTGTGGAGCGCCTCGCATCTCTGCCAGGTACCTCCGGAGAGTGTTTGTGTTTGAAGCACTTTTTATAGAACTGCTGTCAAAACGGGTAGAGAGCGAGCTTAATTGGGACCGATCTGAAAAAGGAGGTGGTGTGTAGGTGTGCAAGGGATGTGTGCAGCGAGCGGCTGCTTTCAGCCAGAGCTGAGCATAAACAGGTCCAGTCTGATGTTTATCAGGGACTCTTATCTCCTGAGCTGGTAAATTTTTTACTGTCGTGTCAGTTACGATCCACAGACCGGGGAGCATTAAAGACAACGTTGTGTACAGCGTGAGTAAGGCTGAGCATGCCTGTCCTGCTGCAGCCAGTGCTGCCCCGGCCGGTGGGGGGGGGAGCCAGCTCGCCCTGTTCGAGCTACGGGATCTGTCTGCCCAGCGAGCAGGACCTGGGGCTCCTGCCTCTGGCGTCAGCCCGAACGCCATCCCCTTGCTTGTACTGAGTCACAAGTGACTCACTTTAAACTTGGATGTGAGTGCAAAGTATACATTTGCAAATTGGCTGGTGAGGCACTGCTTTGCAATGTAGGTGGGATGTATTACATACTCCAGCAGTCAAGTTCTGCTCTTTTTCCCTCCTCCCTCTCCCTCCGAGCAGGATAGCTGTCTGAACCCAGGATTTTGGTGCGGTTCTCGCGGGCGCAGGAAGGCGTCTCAGCCCGCTCCGGTGGATGTGGCATGTGGATGGCTCCAGCTCCGCTCGTGACGGAGCTCTGCGCTGAAGATGGATGATTTAGCTCTCCTTGACCTGTTGGAGTGTCCTGTGTGCTTTGAAAAGCTCGACGCCACAGCGAAGGTGCTACCTTGCCAGCACACTTTCTGCAAGCCCTGCCTGCAGAGGATCCTGAAATCCCAGAAGGAGCTCAGGTGCCCCGAGTGCAGGACCCTCGTCCTCTGCAGCATCGAGCAGCTGCCCTCCAACCTGCTCCTCATTCGCCTCCTGGATGGAGTCAGGTGTGGACCGAACGTTACCAGATTTGGCTCGATCCAGAGGTCAGGGGTCCTGTCCTCCCCTGCCTCCATCAGGAGAGTCCCCAGGGGGTTGCAACTTCATCAGCACCGGCTGGCGACAAATCCCAGGATCCACATGGAAGGGGTAAGGAGGGTCCACATTCTTTACCCAGTCCGTCAGCATAGAAAGCTTTATTCTTGTGTGCCAAGAGCTATGAAACTTTCCTGTTAGCAGTATTGCAGAAATGTCTGAAGTAAGAGAGATTGTTTTGGTTGCAAATCTGGTTGCTGTTTCCTTGTGATATTTGACTATTTTGAGTTCATCACAATAGTAACTGCATTGACTCTCAGGCTGAGACCTGCTTGCCCTTCTCCTTACAAAAACTTCACAGAAGCTGTTTTCCCCAGGAGTTTTCGGGTGCTTCCTGACTTTGGGGGGGAGGAGGGGGGGCGGCATTTCAGGTGCTTCAACTTTTGGGCAATATACTGATTTTTGACTGATAGCAATTAAATCAGTAATTGCAAAGCTGTAACTGTTAGAGGTGGAGAAAGGTATTTCCCATCGCTGCACCTCGGTTTCCCCAGCCATTGAAAAGAAGGAGAGTGTGTAATGATGCTTATGTCCCTGGCAAAATACTTTGAGGTTCACTAATGAAAAGTATTAAACTCGACTTACTTACTAACTTTATCTAGGGATGATTTACTAGGCTAATTTTAAAATTCTAAGTTGTTTCTGTCATTTTCTTTAACAGTACAAAAGCTTTTCTTAAATAATGAGGACATGATATTAGACCTGTTAAAGGAGCTTGGCTCAGATTGAATCTGGGGTAGACACTGATGCGTAGCTTCACCTTTCCTGCGTTTTATTCCTGGATTTCCATTTCTCCCACCTGAACCTATTCTTCTTTACAATGTCTCTACAAACCTTTCCACAACATTCAAAAGCTTGACTCAAATGGCTGTTCAATCTCAGAACATTTTTCAGAATTGCAGAGCTATAAACTTCCAGGCAGACATAGGACAGGTTTTCTCGCCTGCATGCTACAGAGGTAGACAAGTGCAGGTATTGCTGTGGAGCTGTAGATGTCCTGTGGGTACAAGCTGGTGTGCGTATCCCAGGGAATCTCTGTGGCGTCGATAAGTCATCTTGGATGGATCATGTATAAAACCAGATCTCTCTCAGGAGCTCCTCTCTCAGGTTTTCCCACTGGAAGGCATGGCAGCGTGGCCCTGGGAGTGAGTCCCTTTCCTGGGAGCCCTGGCTGGCCCACAGCTTATCAGGCAGGCAGGCAGGCATGTCTGCCTGTGCTGGGAGGCAGCGCCTGGGCCAGGTGGGCGATGCAAGAAAGCCGGCCTGGAAGGGGCCATCCACTTCTCCTGCATGCATCTCTGCGGCCAGAAATTATGCTTTAGCTTAGATGAAACGTAGCCCAGTCCCCAAAGGCGCTGAGCAATGCTGTTCCGGTGGTGCTGGGGGAGCAGGGGCAGGTGGGCAACACAGCACAGCCCGGGAGCGGCCTCCCGTCTGCAGCACCCATCAGGTGAGCGGTGGCCGGGTGGGACAGCAGAGCGGGGCGGGGGCGAGCGCTGGTCCTCAGGCTGCAGACGGCCCCGCTGCA